AAAAAATAAATAAATAAAAAGAAAAACAAAAGAAAGTGGAGTAGAAAGGAGGATGGTGTTTCTACCCACGAAGTTTAATATACTGTATTGTCTTTTTAGGATTGTAACACCTCTTAAGTGTCAAACTGTGTATGCCTTATTTTATGTTTACTGAAAAACTATTTCACAGCCAGTTAATTCCAGTAAAGTATACTGAAATTGGGGGGGAAAAAGTGAAAATAGCTATTTTTTCAATTTATCCTTTTCCTAGCTTTCAAATGTTTGGACTAAAACTCCTAAGTTGTTTCGTTATCCTTACAATTGTTTTCTCTCACCAGCTCACCATTTTTTTCCGGCTCCATTTTCTCCCATACTCTAGAGGTTGTGAACTGAGAAACTCCAAGGACCATCTTGTCCAACACTGGAATGCACTTTGGTTCTTGCAAGCTTTTGAATCATCCAAAAGCTGAAGCAGGAGTTGGGCTGCCCTGGCAGGACTTCAAACTGTAAACCAAAAGTACCCGAGACAGGTCTCAATCAATTTAGAGTTTATTTTGCCAAGGTTAAGGATAGGCCAGTGACACAGCCTGAGGATGTCCTGACATGTGCCCAAGGTGGTCAGGGTACAGCTTGCTTTTATACATTTTAGGGAGACATAATGCAGCAATCAGTACATGTAAGATTTTACATTGGTTTGATCTGGAAGGGCAGGACAGCGTGAAGCTTGGCAGGGGGTGGGTGTTTCCAGATCACTGGTAGATTTAAACATGTCCTGATTGGCAATTGGTTGACTGAAAAAGTTATTATCAATAGAAAGGATGTCTAGGTTATAAGGGGTTTGTGAGACCTAGGTTTTTTTTTTTTTTTTTATTATGAGACCTAGGTTTTATCATGCAGATAAAGCCTCCAGGCTGTAGGCTTTAGAGAGAACAGATCTTAAATGTTTCTTATCAGGCTTAAGGTCGGTGTTGATGTTAATTAGGCATGTCCAGCCCCTCCCCCAATCCCCCTTTTCATGGCCTGAGCCAGTCTTTCAGGTTAAATTTTAAGGTGCCCTGGCTGAGGAGGGAGTCCATTCAGATGGTTGCCCATTCAGATGGTTGTGGGGGGCTTCAAATTTTATTTTTGGTGTACAAAACAGAAAATGGAAGCACCTTGCTTCCCACTTCAAAGCCTTTTTCATGAGACACACTACCATTAATTACATGGGATACAAGACAAAGCTATGATGGGAAAGAAGTACACTCTACAACGTCTTTTATGTGGTTAGTAATTATGGGAAGCATTTTATTCTGCAAAGGAATTCCACGCCCTATAAATTTAAAGTATTAGTTTGTCATCTCCAGGCATTCAGCATTCTCATAAACAGTGACAGAAGAAATACAGAATACAGGATCCAGCACAGTTTCGGGATTCCGGCTTCTTTGCCAGACTTATCTTTGCTTACTTCTTTGTACAGACTTAGTTCTATGCCAAAAGTATCTTCCAAAAATTCCTTGGAAGGGTAAAATCAACCACCTCTACTTATGATTTCCATGCATCTCTGGAATGCATAAAACGCAATTCTAAGACATGTTCTAATTCAGCTCAAAAAAAAAACCAAAAAACCTGGTATCTTTGAGCAGTGGGTCTCAAACATCACGATCACTTTAAAATGACCTGAAAGCCTGGTGAAAACAGAAACTGCTGGGCTCCAGCGGATTTCTGACTCAACAGGTCTGGGGTGGTGCCTGGGAATTTGCATTTCTAACTAAAGTTCCCAGGTACTGCTGATGTTGCCAGTCTAGAGACCACAATTCGAGATCCACTGAGACCCACTGTGCTATCCAGAACTTTTGCTGGTTTCCTTCAAGTCATGATATTTCAGGGCTCTCTCTGCATCACCGCTACTGAGGGGCTCTACCCATTAAAGCTGGGCCATGCTTAGTGAAGGTTGGTCCAAGAATGTAACAGGGACTGTTGAGATTTCAGCACCCCAGCCTTTTTTAGTGACTGAAATAATGAAAATTATGATCGGACCCCTGCTTGCTGGTACATTTTAACCACTGGCTTTTTGCCCAATTCTCCTTGTTTCCACAATATAATTATAAACTGCAGATGTACTGCTTCCTTCTCAAGCACAAAGAAGTAACTTCAGGGTCACAAAAATGTGTGCAGAAGGAATGAATACCTTGAAGGGCTTTGTGACCAACTGCTGATGCCTACGCATCTGATTGCTCAAGTTGTTATCTGAGACTGAAGAAACAGCCTTTTCCCCTGTATTCTTTGAAACTCCCCATCTCTCATTCTCTAGCAGTATAAAAACTCCCTTTTCCTTTTTCTTTTTGATGTAGAATTGTTTTGTGTTCCTCATGCTACAACACAACCTTCAAAGTCAGCCACGTATATAACATTAATACACGTCCTCAAAACATCAACTTAGATAACCCATAGCCAGAGGTTCTAAACTGCTACAATGCAACTTCAACATTCAAAAGAGTACAATAATATGCTTCAAATCCCATCTCAATGCAAATTTAAGAAAAGCAAAGCAAACTGTATTATCAGACTACCAAAACTCAGTAAGATTCTGTAATTTAATATACCTACTTCTCATCTCTCTAAATTTCTCAACACTGGGGAGTGTTTTTAAAGATATCAATGCCTGAATTCTACTCCAAGCCAATTAAAACAGAACAATTAAATCAGAATCTCTGTGGGGCATCTTGATTCACTTACTGCTTTCTAACACCTTTTACTTCTGTCCCTTTTCAAATGTCCAAAAATTAGTAATATTACAATCTGTGTTATGATCATAATATAATTATGATCATAAGAAAAAACATAAAATGAAGACTTGGAAAGATATTTGTTACTCATTTAGAATTATTTGGTATAACAGTATTTTCCAATGGAGGAAGACTATTGGATTTCAGGCATAAAACAATGCAGAAAAAAAATCTCAAGACATCACAGGGAAAGGAAGATAACTTCTGACTCTGGTTTCCCATGTTTCAGGCCAGGAAGAGCAAGGAAGAAAAAAATTTCTCCATGGGAACAAGTACTCATGCTCTAAAGAACAATTTTATTTCAACCCATTAATTTCCTTTTCATGCAAAATTTCAAAGATAAAGCAACATAAAATATGAGGCCAAAGAAAAGCGAAAAGGTCTTCAAGTCTGTCAAAATAGAGATTCAGTCCAACATCATGTCAATTTTTATATTAATTGTAGTCCCTAAGTTTTCATAACCAAAAAAATGAGAATAACCTTATAGCTATCTACTAAGGTAACAAATTGTAAATAAATTCCCCAATATTGCTTTGAAAATAACTTCCTTGGTTGTTAAGAGAAATTTCAACTTCCAACTCCATCCAAATTTATTATTTAACTGGTATTCATCAGTCATCATCTACTGTTGGCTTGATTGTCACTCCTCTTCTTATCTGACCCCAACCAATTAAACGCCAGTGTTTTTCAACTCTTCTGCTAAGGGCAATTTTTTCTCCTACCTCTGTGCACACTGGATTGGTCAAAACAATTTTACCCAAATCGGCCTTGACAGCACTAACTCTCCCTCCTGTCGACAAGGACCCTATGTTCACCATGAGCACTTCATTCTTAGACAGCTTTTGCACCTTTGCTGCCTTCTTGTCTCCTTCAGTGCGTACACCTAGAAGCCGTCTAAGCAGGAAATAGGAAATTTCCAATTCTGTGAATATCTCAGGTAAGGCTCCAACTGCACCAAGTACCTGCCCCACCATTCTGTCAGCCCGGCACAAAGTGGGGTCAATTTTTGTTCCAACTCCAATAAGACCACCCGGAGCAGCATATTGCAGATCATTATGCTCCGCAAAAAGCGATACAATTTTGGAAAAGATTGGTTTACACATGAGTTTTCCTTCACTATCCTTGGAAACAATACCAGGTCTTACTTCTATCTCCTGGCCCACTTTTAATACTCCTTTTAGGATACTACCACCAGCTACACCCCCCTTAAGGTCATCAACTTCACAGCCAGGTTTGTTGACATCAAAAGATCTAATAACAATAAGGCGGGGCTCTGAAGTAAAGTCTCTTGGGGGTACTGGAATTTTCTTTACTATGTACTCACAAACAACTTCAATATTGTATTTCAGCTGAGCCGATATTGGAATAATGGGAGCTCCCTCTGCTACTGTACCTTGGACAAAAGCAAGGATCTGTTCGTATTGTTCTTTAGCCTGACTTTCTTTTACCAAATCAATTTTATTTTGTAGAATCAAAATATGCTTCAGTTTCATGATCTCTATAGCAGCTAGGTGTTCAGATGTCTGAGGCTGAGGGCAAGATTCATTACCAGCTATCAGCAGAAGAGCTGCATCCATCACTGCTGCACCATTCAACATAGTAGCCATCAAAATATCGTGGCCAGGACAGTCAACAAAGGAAACATGTCTGACTAATTTGAAGTTCCCTTTGGTCCCCGGAATGTCTGTAGGAAACTCATCAGGTGTACTGCTCCCACAAGATCTATAACATTCTGGCCGAGGGCAACTTGGGTCATCAAGTTTATAAATCTTAGCATTAGCATATCCAAGCTTGATTGTAATATTTCTTTCTAGTTCATTTTTGAACCTGACTGTGTGAACTCCAGAAATAGCTTTGACAACTGTGGATTTCCCATGAGCTACATGACCAATTGTACCTATATTAATTGTGGCTTGTCTGCTGATAACTTCGTGTGAAAGTGGCGTCAACTTGGTAACATCCAAGGTGGTGAGATCCTGGCGCGAAAGATGCGGCTGCCCCAGAGTCACTCCAGCTTCTCCTCCCGCCATCTTGCCAGAAGAGCTGCTTTTTCCTTTATTATAGAGGGATTTGAGAGATGCTGCTCTCCCTCCTTCTGGCTTTGACCAAATGAAATAAGTCTGTCTCTATCCCCAAGCACCTGTGTGTCAGTGTTTGGCATCAACCGTACCACTGATACACCAGCCTGAATTTGAACTTCTGCAAGAACACTCCTTCCTAGGCCAGACACTGACGCTAAGAAATAGGAGAACAGATCATCGCCATACAGCGGCTGAAGGTCATGCGAACTGACGCGCTGCAAAATCTGCCTTTCCACGTGATCAGCTGGGCGTCTATACCCGCGGCCGTCTTTGCCTCCTCCTCACCGTCAGGCCTGAAGGTCCGACTGTAGCTGCAGGACAGCCCGAGCCTCCGGGTGGGCCCCGCGGCCCTCTATGGCGCTGCTCCACGCGCTGGTCTGCGGCTTGCTGACTGCTTGGCTCTACTGCTCCGGCCTCGGGCTGCCAGTGGCGCCGGCAGACCGCAAGAATCCTCCGCTGGCGGTAGGTGAGTTGCCGGCTACCCTTCTCTTCCGGGCAGGGGCGGAGAGAGCCGACCGGCGGCGCCTGCGCACAGCCGCAGAAAGAGCGTCGGGGGCAGAGGTTCCGGCGAGCCCGGGTCCTGACGTGGCCGGCGTTGACTACGGCGCCCGGGAGGGCGACCCAGGGACGAGAGCGTGAGGGCGTCCAGCCGGGGCTGGGCGGGGGGAAATGCCTGTGCCCGTGGGGGCGCTCCAAGGGCGCATGGGCAGGATTCTGCCAGCCTGGCTGTTGTTTACATCCTGCGTTTCAGTTGATTTGCTCCTCGGGGCAGGAAGGAAAAGCTGTGGGACTCAAGGGAAAAGGAAGCTGGGAGTGGGGTGTCCAGCACTTCTAGAGACCCCGAATCGGTCCTGAATGGAAAGGGACTGCAGTTTCCCCCTCAGCTCGCGGATGTACATTTCAGCGGGACTCAAGAGTATCTTCTGTCCTGCTCGACCGAGGTCGGTGGCGTTTTCTGCCACTGTCCCAGCCAGATAGTGAAAGCACCCTCGGTGTAGACTCGCCCCTTAGCCTACCGGGGACTCCATTTCACCCAGATGTTCACTAGGCTCCCTGCGGGCGGGACCCATTTCACTCCCAACACAAAACAGTGCCTGTCACAGTAGTGATCTCTAAGTGTGGCCCTGGGCCGGCGGCAGCAGCAGCGACACCTAAACTTTTTAGCATTGCAAATTTCCAGCCCTTCCCAGACCTACCGAATCTGAAACGCCGGCATTGGAGTTCCACAAAATGTTGTTTAACCAAACCCTCTGCGTGATTCCGTTCCGCTAAGTTTGAGACTCCTTGGTCCAGAATAGATACATTTTGGTGAGAATGCCATCTGAGGCTCCAGTTTCAAAAATCAAGGTGCCCCACCTCCTCGACTCCCTTAAAGATAATTGCACTGTTAGAGGAAAAACAAAATTAGAGAAGGGGAAGTCCTGTTTCCTTTTGGGGGAGAGTCGTCCTTGAGACTCGGTAGCCCCTGAAACCTCTCTCTTCCCTGCCTCTGTGCTTCCTCAGGACTTAGGAACGCTCTAGGGTAAATATATTCTCTTTGAAGGCCAATTCCTCTCGACTCAGCTTTCTTGAGGTAAGAAGCAAAAACTGTAAAAACCGTAAATCCAGTTTCCCAACTGTGTCAAATGTCAGTCATTACAAGAAATTGCCCCAAAATATTTATGTATACTGGTTTCTGCTAACAGTTTAGCTTGTGTTACTTTAATTATGTGACTGGTTAGGGTATTGAAATAAAATGTCTCAGGTTGCTTGAAGCCACACAATGGCAAATTCACCTCATTGGGCACTTTCTGGGTACTATGTGAGTCTTCACTTCTCACCTCTATTTTTTTTTTTTAAGAAGCTGCAAGGTTGAATCCTCTCCTACTGAAGGGAAGGAAGAGGGGTTTCTGGATGTCAAAGGTCTGACACGTTACTGGAGTTACGGGGTTCAAAGGTCTGAAGTGACTCAGCAGTTTCACAATTCTCCTTGTTGACTGTAGTGTTATTAACGTCCAACAGTACCAAAACGCATTTAATAAAGAGATCTTCCAAACAGGCTTTGTGTGGGTGACAAGGCCGCTTTATTTCTCGCTCAGGTGGAAGTGGGCCAAATATGAAAGGACAGGAGAAGCAGATAACAGTGGGAATTGGCTTTATAGGTTAGGGCGGGGTGTTGCAGAGTAAGATCAGTTACTGTGGTGGGGGATAGAGGCTAGGAGTATACTATACCATAAGTTCAGTTACAATGGCGGGTGGGGTAAGGCGGAAGAGTAGTTAAGATGGTGGGGTGGGGCAAGGTGTATTCATATTATACGAACAGTTAAGATGGCAGGGTGGGGTGAGAGGCTTGTGCAAGGGAAGCGCTGCTGGACGTTTAGGGATAATGGCGAAAGCAGGTTGGGGATGGGGGAGGATCAGCCGAGGCAGGGAGGACTTCAGACTTTCTGGGTCCAGGCTTGCACATGGAGACCTGATATAGTGTTTTGCATGTTTTCCACTTGATGTGACCACTCCCCTACCCCCTCTTCTCAGCTCCAAATGCTTGGACTTCCTTTCAACATCCACCATGCCTGGCTACTGCCTGCTTTTCTTGTGTTTTTGCTTTTAAATTCCCAGTCTTCGCTTTCTGCTTTGTCAGGTTTTGGTGGTCAGAGGACAAAAGTCCTAGGAAGCTTCACATGTGTGCTTTAGACTTAGTAGGCTGGGACCTGCTTGTGTATTGGTACTGTTAAAGCAAACTAAATACGACTTGAGAGGGACTCCTTATTTCTGTATTTGAATCCTTGTGGATGAACTGTAATCTAGCTTAATAGATGAAACTGAAAACTAAGAGTTAAATAAAGAGTATGCTCTTTAAACTAAGATAAGAGCTAAATAAGAGTATGTGCCTGTAACAATAGCTAAGTCTTGGCCAATCCCAACAGCCATACTTCAACCATTCATACTGCTGAGTGTTCAAACTGTTCAAATTAAGGCACACGCTGAGCTGAACTATGTCTGAACTGTGGTTCATTGGGTTCTTTAGGAGAAGTTATAACATTTTCTTTGTGTTAAAAAATTTTCTGGTGTAATTTTGAGAGTTTGCTTGGATATGTTGAACACATACATATTTTTGGAAATCTTTTGAAAGATGGTCTGCAGAACAAGAAAGCGTGGTGTAGTAAAAAGAACTTTGGACTTCGAACTAGGGAACGTGGATTGGATGTGGGCTCTGCCACAGGCCAGGCCTTAGAAACACATATGTGCACACATTTTTTATACAATTTCATTAGGAGAGGGAGATGAGGCTTCCAGATGTTCATTATTTATAAGTTGCAGGTTAAGAACCTGTCAGAGCTCTGTTCTTGGCTTCTATTTAAAGACATCTTTTGGTGAATTTAAATTATTATCCCCTAATTTATCTGGCAATGCTATGCAGTAGAAAGACTGGAAGTCTGGAGAAGCTGGTTCCAGTTAAGCTTTCATGACTGAGTCATCATGTGATCTTGAGGATATCCTGAAATTTGCCTTTGCCTAAATGTCATCATATAAAAATTAAAGAATGTTTGTTGAAGGGCTGAAGTGGAAATTTTGCCCAGGATTTTGTCAGCACGTCAGCAACCGTCCGTATTTTTAAAACTGATCCTATTTTGGTTAGTAACTGCCTCTTTCTGCTTCTGTGCCTCAATTTATTGCTTACTAACTGGAAAGCCATAAGAAGAATGCCGCGTTGTCTAAAACCTGCTGCATTGTCTAAAGTCCTGAATTAACCTCCCTTGCCCCTTTACCTATAAAAACTGTGCACTTTTCTTAGCCGGGGTCCAGACTTTTGGGTGTGAACCCTTCTGGGCTCGCCGGCATAATAAAATGTGTTCCTCCTGTTGTATTGGACCGAGCATAGAAAGTTAGCACCAAGACAAAAGTATGCCAGATTGCAGGGTCATTTATTATGCCGGCAACCACAGAGGACTCACGTCTCTCCAACCTGTGGCGTCAAAAGGAGGCTGCCAAGACTTTTTATACCCGAAAAACCATCTTGGGAGTGGGGGTGAGGAGCGGGGATGGGGATGAAAAGGTTTTGGACATTCCAAGGGCTAGGGGATTCTGTGATTCATCTCCTGGGCGGAGACGAGGGCGGGGGTCTCCGGACATTCCAAGGTCCGGGGGATTCTGTAATTCACCTCCTGGGTGGAGACGAGGGCGGAGCTCTCCAGACATTCCAAGGGCCAGGGGACTTTTGTCATTCTGTTTGTTACTTCAGTGGTTTACAGAAGTCAAGATAAGCATTTGTTTACACACAGATCTTAGTTATCCTGGGCTGCTTATTTTAGTTATTACTAAATAACTAAAGCAAAGGCTAGCAATTCTGGCACAATATCACACTCCGATCCCCTGAGTGCCGCTTGGGTTTCTTGTCAGGAAAGATTTTCCAGAACAGGGCTACTATAGGTCATGCATATTCTAGATGCTGGAGATATAAATCTAAGTACTAAATTACATCAGACGGGTGTACTCTTAATGCATTTCAGGTTTGGGTTTACTGAAACAAGTACTGAATATGTTTATAGTCTGTTTTCCGCCCATCTTCACAGGATCACAGATATCATCATCTGTTTCTGAGACAGAGTTTTGTTTTTGTTGCCCAGGCTGGAGTGCAGTGGTGCAAACTCCGCCTCCCGGGTTCAAGTGATTCTTTTGCCTCGGCCTCCCAAGTAACTGGGATTACAGGCATGTATTTTTAGTAGAGACGGGGTTTCTCCATGTTGGTCAGGCTGGTCTCAAACTCCCAACCTTAGGTGATCCACCCATCTCAGCCTCCCAAAGTTCTGGGATGACAGGTGTGAGCCACTGCGCTGGCCATTTTTTTTTCCCCCAGAGGCAGGGTCTCTGTCACCCAGGCTGGAGTGCAGTGGCCCAACTTGGCTCACTGCAGACTCAATCTCCCTGACTCAAACAAATCTTTCACCTCAGCCTCCAGAGTAGCTGGGACTACAGGTGCCTACCACCACTTTTGGCTAATTTTTGTAATTTTTTTTTTTTTGAGACTGAGTTTCGCTCTTGTTGCCCATGCTGGAGTGCAATGGAGCAATCTCAGCTCACTGCAACTTCCTCCTCCTGGGTTCAAGCGATTCTCCTGCCCCTCCTTCCCTAGTATTTGGGACTACAGGTATGTGCCATCATGCCCAGCTAATTTTGTATTTTTAGTAGAGACGGGGTTTCTCCATGTTGAGCAGGCTGGTCTTGAACTTCTGACCTTAGGCGATCTGCCCACCGCAGCCTCCCAAAGTGCTGGGATTACAGGCGTGAGCCACCACTCATGGCCAATTTTTGTATTTTTTGTGGAGATGGGGTTTCACCATGTTGCCATGGCTGTTCCCAAAATCCTGAGCTCAAGCAGTCCTCCTGCTTCAGCCTCACAAAGTGCTGAGATTGTAGGCGTGAATGCCAGGCATCATTATCTGTTTTCATGTGAGGCAAGTGAGACTGGATATATTTGAATGTGAAAACATAGAGGAATTGTATATGGTTAAGGATAATGTGGACTCTGGAGTCAGATTTCCTGAATTTATAGTTTAGCTCTCTTGCAGATGATACACGTAACTTGGATTTAATCTCTCTGGGTGCTTCGGTTTCTTATCTGTAAAATGGAGTATGCATAATAATAATCTCATACATGTGAAGCATAAAAAAATTGTACTACACATGTAATAAGTACTTGAATTTTAAGTATTACTTGGAAGTGGGGTTTGAAGTTAAAAAAATAATAACAGTAAAACTACCGTTAAAGCGTAGCAAATTATTGTACCTTAAATAATCTGTTCAACAAAACAAAACAAAACAAACTACCATTGAACTTACTTGGTACCATACACCTTCTAAGTGCTTTCCTTCTAATGAGTCACTTAACCCTTACTGTAGGCACTATTATTATTCCCATTTTACCAATGAAATAGGCCAAGAGCACACAGCTAGATTAGTAGGTGGCGGAGCTTGTATTGGAAGCCAAACAGCCTGACTGTGGTCTCCACTCTTAACCAGAACATTGTATTGTTTCATGTTCATTTACTACACCCTTACATTCTCTAAATAATACAAATACATGTTCACATTAAAAGGATCTTCTGGGGTGACTGAGCTATTTGCCATCTTTACTTTTTGTGCTGGATAAAGTATATCTAAGATGGAAATAAAGATTGAGGTATTTTCTACATTATGGGATAAAATAAAATTGCTTTTGGCAGATGTTTTCAAATAGTGACTAAGTACCAAGTAATTGATCATAAAGATGGTCTTATGTCTACTTTCTTCTGGATCTTTTGTTTACCATTTCTTACCATTACCATTTGTGAATATAAATGTGTTATAAAATTATAATGACAACTATGTTGGGAAGAAACAACAAGCAAAAGATATCTCACCGTTTTCACCTTAACATAGCAACTGTTTTCATCTTATTACCCCAGCTTTGGGTTGTATTCGGTTGTATCATATTGATATACTTTAAACTTTGCATCCTACCTGTTTGCTCTTTGTTTGTGGTGTAGTACATGCTACTTTGTCACTTCCAATATGTTTCTGATATAAATTAGTCATAATTAGAGTAAACTTGAAAACTCAAAAGTACGGAAAAATATCTCTTTATTAAAATAATTTAAACATGGGCTATAAAGATCATTGAATATATATGTAAAATGATGTATAAACAAACTTGGAGACCCTTCAGTATGGGAGTTCAGATTTATTAGCTGTGTGTACTTGAACACATTTTATGTTGGACCCAGCATTAGTTTTTCAGTTCTAAAATGGGAACCGTAATTCCCAGTTCAGAGAGTAGTTTTGAGAATCAAATGAGATAGTATATTAAAATTGCTTCGCCAGGCGTGGTGGCTCAGGCCTGTAATCCTAGCACTTTGGGAGGCCGAGGTGGGTGGATCACCTGAGGTCAGGAGTTCAAGACCAGCCTGGCCATCATGGTGAAACTCCCATCTTTAGAAAAAATAAATAAATAATAAAAAAATAAAAATAAAATTGCCTATCACCATGCCTGGCACATAGCAAATACTTAATAAAGACAGATACCACTCTGATTATTTGTTCTAGTATTACCTTCAATAAAAGAAACTTTCTTTTTTTTTTCTTGAGACAGAGTTTTGCTCTTGTTGCCCAGGCTGGAGCACAGTGGCAACTTTCTTAAGATGATTTCCAAGTAAGGTTGCTATCAGATGGGTTTGGCTGCTTTCTAAAAACCCAATGGAAGCATCTTCTTTAACAATTGTTTCCCTTAATATTATTTAACATTTTATACGAATATGTGATAGAAGATGTACCTCTATTAAATAACTTTTAAGAACCTTTGAGAATTCCCATTTTTGGCTTAAAGCTTGTATTAAAGATTTATGTTCTTTAATGTTGAGAGAAAATGTTTATAAGAAAGTAACAGTGATATATAATTACTGGTTCTGCAGTTTGCTTACTCACTGTGTAATCCTAACAAATGACATCATATTTCTATGTCAATTTTTCTACAAGAAGAATGTAAATAATTTGTAAAATCTTATATTCTTATAGGAGACATGCTATTAAGATACAAGATGATATTATCATTGATCTCTCTAAAGGATATTTTCATTTATTATGGAAACTTATCTTTGCTAAATAGTCTTTGTTAGGTTATCATGCTAATATGAATACCGAGCTCATCAGTTGTTTTTTCTGAGATGAAGTCTTGCTCTGTCGCCCAGGCTGGAGTGCAGTGGCATGATCTCAGCTCATCTCAACCTACGCCTCCTGGGTTCAAGCAATTCTCCTGCCTCAGCCTTCTGAGTAGCTGGATTACAGGTGTGCGCCACCACACTCGGCTAATTTTTTATATTTTTGGTAAAGATAGGGTTTCACCATGTTGGCCAGGCTGGTCTCAAACTCCTGACCTCAAATGATCCACCTGCCTCAGCCTCCTAAAGTGCTGGGATTACAGGTGTGAGCCGCCAGGCTCAGCCTGAGTCATCAGTTCTGACACACTTAAGTAGTAAATTGTTCCTACAGTTCTTTGAAGCTTACCTTCTCACAGAGAAGGATTGTATTTAACTTCAAGGCATATGAACATTTAAATTACCAGGGCTTTCCTTTATCACAGGGAGGAGCAACCATTTCTATTCTTACTATAAATATTTGTATGAGAATTCCAAAAGAGAAAAAGTAGATTTATCTGCATTTTTTTTCATAATCAACAGGACAGTTTTGGCATGTGACTGACTTACACTTAGACCCTACTTACCACATCACAGATGACCACACAAAAGTGTGCGCTTCATCTAAAGGTGCAAATGCCTCCAACCCTGGCCCTTTTGGAGATGTTCTGTGTGATTCTCCATATCAACTTATTTTGTCAGCATTTGATTTTATTAAAACCTCTGGACAAGAAGCATCTTTCATGATATGGACAGGGTAAGTGATTATATAAGTACCATTAATTACTCAATATTTATTTACAATGTCCTAAGCTTCCTAAGAGTGCTGAATTCCATAGAAGATTAATTAGGTTTTAAGAGTTATGTGAGTTAAAAAACACTGGGTCAAACTGATCAACATTATTAGAGGTAAAAACAATTCTAGAAGTGTTTATTTTTAAATACAGACTTTAGAAATATGTCAGTGTTAATGGATGAATCCATAAGCAGCACACTTGCATCAATGTCTTGAGGTGTTGATTAATGTGATATTAGGTCTTCATTAAATTATCAAAGACGAAATGCAATAATGGAAGTTTACCTGCCATGACAATTTTGTAAAGCATCATCTTCTGGCAGTATAACTAACTAGCTCCCATCATCATAATAGAGTAAAGAGGCCTATATTTCTTTACCTGGAATAATGACTATGTCTAATACTTTTTTTTTTTTTTTTAAGATGGGGTTTCACCATGACAGCCAGGCTGGTCTTGAACTCCTGACCTTAGGTGATCCACCCACCTCGGCCTCCCAAAGTGCTAGGATACGGGCATGAGCCACTGCGCCCGGCGACCATGTCTAATACTTATAGAGTATTTACTTTGGGTTTGGCACTGTTTTAATTAATTTATACATTGTAAACTTTAATTTTTACAATGGGTATTATTATTATTCCCATGTTACAGATGAGGAAATGAAGGTGCTGAACATCTAAGTAACTTATCCAAGTATACACAGCTAGTAATTGGCAAACTGGATTTCAAACAGGCATTTTGGCTGTGGTTCAGTAGAAATCTGCTTTTAATTATTGCAGTTTTTAGCCTCTTATAAATCTTCAGTTAAGTGGTGAAATAGGCTGGGATTTCCAGCTTATTTTTTGTATTATATTTTTGTTAATACATATTTTTCTTTTACAGGATTCTCTGTAGGGTAGAAGTAGGGCGAAGAGCAGTTGGCTGTAATTTGCTGTTTTAAAATGGAAGCCTGCAATGATAGGTATAGCAAGGCATCATGCATAAGTCTAGTAACTATGAAACTGATTTTGTTCTTTACAATTCTGTCTCTTTTTCAGGGATAGCCCACCTCACGTGCCTGTACCTGAACTCTCAACAGACATTGTTATAAATGTGATCACTAACATGACAACCACCATCCAGAGTCTCTTTCCAAATCTCCAGGTTTTCCCTGCACTGGGTAATCATGACTATTGGCCACAGGTAAATTTGATGTCAACTTTCAGAAGTGCTTAAATAATTTTTCCTATTAGTAGTGTCGAAATTGTGACAATAACTAGCCAGTGATAGGCATGGGGATGGGTCTCATAGAGGGAGAATATGGTCTTAATCCTAGCCATCAAGAAAGGCAAAGACAAGTGCTTTGGTGACTAAAAAAGGACTCTTTTAATAATTCATAAGAAGTTGTATCAATAGTGAGTTTTCAGAGGCAAATTATCCAGTTTTTACACTATTAATTTCTGTTTTCCTTCATAATCTTCTTCAATTTCTCTTCTTTTGAATAACATTCTTGTTCATTTTCATGTCCGTGACAAGGTTAGCAAGTAAGGTTAATATTGGTAAATATTTACTTTTTCCATAATTCTTATTAGGCCTACAAAGATGTGCATACCCTGATCTAAGCTAGATTGTAAATAAAAACAAAAAAATTACAAATTACCATAAGAAGTGAATGAAGAGACTGCCAAACAGGCTTTGTGTGAGCAACATGGCTGTTTATTCACCTGAGTGCAGGTGGGCTAAGGCCAAAAAGGGCATTAGTGAAGGGCGGTGGGATAGGAGTTAGTTTTATAGGTTTGAGGTGGGCAGTGGAAAGTTACAGAGTAACATCAGTTACAGTGGTTGGGGTAGGGGCAAGGAGTATACATTACCATAAGTTCAGTTACAGTGGCGGGTGGGGTAAGGCGTAACAGTGGTTATGATGGCAGGGTGGGTGAGGAGTATTCACATTATTATAAGTTAAGATGGCAGGGTGGGTTGATGTCCAGGGGGAAGCTCCACTGGGCGATCAGGGATAATGGCAAACACCAGGGGGTTATGGGGGTAATCAGCCAAGGCAGGTAGGACTTTAGACTTTCTGGATCTGAGCTTACACATGGAGGACTAACAAGAAGCAAAGAGGAAGGAGGTCCATGTTCAAGTCCATTTTATCTAATTAAGACATGATTCAAGGCAGAGACCGTGTTCAGAATGTTTAATGCCTGAGATAATCCTGGCTCCAACGGGTTTTTATTTGAGAAGCTACCTGTGCATAACAGCCAGATACTAGTCCTGGTTACGGCATCCTGTTGTAGTAGTATAAAATCTTAGGTTTGTACCCAGAGATTGTTGTTTAGTCCAGGGCTTCACAACTGTCTCCTGTGGTACAAATTCAGCCTGTTCCTTGTTTTTGTAAATAAAGTTTTATTGGAACACAGCTGTGTTTCCATTCATTCTACATTGCCTATGGTTGTTTCATATTTCAGAATAGAGCAGTTGAAATGGATATAAAAAGTTTGCTGACCCCTGGTGTAGACCAACCCTTTATGTTATAGATGAGAAAACAAAGGCTCAGTAATGTGAAGTGCTTGTCCAAGTGCTCAAAATCCCTTGGGAGCAGAGCCCCTACTCCAGATCTTTTCACCTCAGATCTGTGTTCACTTAAACCAACATCGTTTTGCACATCCTTTTTCTTGCCTGACTAATATACTCAGTGTTTCGCAAACATATCTACTTTCGTGCCTCTCTGTGTCCAAATTTTTCTCTTTGCTTAGAATATCTTCCCTCTCAGGTCAAATGACTGCTGAGTGAGGGGCTTGATTATTTTATTTATTTATTTTTTTTTGAGACAGAGTTTCGCTCTTGTTACCCAGGCTGGAGTGCAATGGCGTGATCTCGGCTTACCGCAACCTCCGCCTCCTGGGTTCAGGCAATTCTCCTGCCTCAGCCTCCTGAGTAGCTGGGATTACAGGCGCGCGCCACCATGCCCAGCTAATTTTTTGTATTTTTAGTAGAGACGGGGTTTCACCGTGTTGACCAGGATGGTCTCGATCTCTTGACCTCGTGATCCACCCGCCTCGGCCTCCCAAAGTGCTGGGATTACAGGCGTGCGCCACCGCGCCCGGCTTGATTATTTTTTTAATCTAACCTCAATAGAGTAATTTCGAAAAGTTGTATTCTAGAACAAGCTTAAGTTTCTTGGCCCTGGCCTGCTATCTTGAGATGAGTAAAATATATGAGTCTTTTTGAGTCAGCCTGTGAACCAGTGGTCAGCTTTTGTTCCCATTGAGATGTTAGACCACACCGTGAAGCGGCTTGGGGATAAATGAACTCCAGCAGCCCAAGGTCACACACATTGTCTTTATATGCCTTAGGTGGCAGGAAGACTAGAATATTGGAAAACACAGGGGTTAGAGTCATAGTCACTAGAGTGTAAATCTTTTTTTTTTTTTTCTTTTTTTTTTTAAGATGCGGTTTCACCATGATGGCCAGGCTGGTCTTGAACTCCTGACCTCAGGTGATCCACCCAGCTCAGCCTCCCAAAGTGCTAGGATTACAGGCATGAGCCACTGCGCCCGGCCAGAATGTAAATCTTTAAGCATTCCTGCTCTCCCACCCCCCCCACCTCACTTCCCTCCCAGCCCTGCTTTTAATAGCTTGGCCAACTTGTGTGATTCATTTACTATCCCTAATACAGACATCACTCATTTGTAAATAGAAGCCATAATACCTACCTTGCAAAGCATTTGTGAGCATTGGTGATATGAAAAGGGCATAGCTTACTACCTGGCACACTAGAAACCCTCAGTAAGTGGGGTGGTAGTGATTGTCGCATTAAGTGGTGACACAGGATGCATGTTTGTAACTCCTTTGAGGATTTGTTTCATTTTATTTTTATCTCTGTCCTCTTTTTGTCAAGTCAAATCCTACAGTTCAAAGACAGAAATGTTACCTATGTTCTATAACATATCATATTATATTAATATATACAGCTAGGATAAATTGGGCAACCTGCATACCTTTAACAGTTAATTTTTTTTCTCTTTCTAGCTTATGATCTTATATTTAAAAATGTTCTGTTATTCCACTACCATCTTTCTACCTCATAGTTTTGGAAATCTCAAATGTAGCAGGAAACTTCCACAATAAATTTTCCTAGAGGCTGATATCTGAGATCTAATTCTGGAAAATGTTAGAAACAAATTTCCTAAGTGCTATTTCTCCGCTAAAATCCCATATTCATGCAGCATAGCTACATAAATATACATTCTACATAAATATACATAACTATATAAATATACAGTCACACAAGTGACCCTGATCTCTGACACAAACTGAAAATACATGTTTGGTCCAATTAAAACAAGTCATTTGGTTGTTACTTGCCCTGGATATATCTATATTTCCATCATGTATTAGGTGCATGTATCAAGAACTGCTATGACTTGGGCATCTAACTTTTGATAAACTCCTCTCAGAAATAGGTCTATTTTACCAGTATAAAGTAGAAAATAGGGCTGGGCATAGTGGCTCACGCCTGTAATCCAAGCACTTTGGAGGCCAAGGCGGGTGGATCACCTGAGTTCGGGAGTTCAAGGCCAGCCTGACCAACATGGTGAAACCCCGTCTTAAAAAAAAAAAAAAAAAAAAAAAGAAGAAGAAAATAAACAGAGTGAAACAGGGGCATCAGTCATTAAACCTAATATTAAAAAGCTACCCAATTCACACCAGGCATGGTGGCTCACACCTGTAATCCCAGCACTTTGAGGGGGGCCAAGGCAGGCAGATCACTGGTCAGGAGATAGACCATCCTGGCTAACATGGTGAAACCCTGTCTCTACTAAAATATAAAAAATTGACCGGGTGCGGTGGCTCAAGCCTGTAATCCCAGCACTTTGGGAGGCCGAGGCGGGTGGATCACGAGGTCAAGAGATCGAGACCATCCTGGTCAACACGGTGAAACCCCGTCTCTACTAAAAATACAAAAAATTAGCTGGGCATGGTGGCGCGTGCCTGTAATCCCAGCTACTCAGGAGGCTGAGGCAGGAGAATTGCCTGAACCCAGGAGGCGGAGGTTGCGGTAAGCCGAGATCATGCCATTGCACTCCAGCCTGGGTAACATGAGTGAAACTCCGTCTCAAAAAAAAATAAAAATAAAAAATATATAAAATATAAAAAATTAGCACATACCTGTAGTCCTAGCTATTCGGGAGGCTGAGGCAGGAAAATCACCTGAACCCAGGAGGCAGAGGCTGTAGTCAGCCAAGATTATACCACTTCATTCCAGCCTGGGTGAGACTGAGACATTGTCTCAATTAAAAAAGGTACCCAATTCACAAATGATTTCTGGGTCTTTTTTTCTTTCTCTCCCTTCCTTCCTTCCTTTCCCTCCCTCCCTCCCTCCCTCCCTCCCTCCCTCCCTCCCTTCCTTCCTTCCATCTCTCTCTTTCTTTCAGACAGGGCCTTTATCTGTTACCCAGGCTGGAGTGCAGTGCAGTGGCACAATCATAGATAAATGCAGCCTCAACCTCTGGGGCTCAAGCTATCCTCCTGCCTCAGCCTCTCAAAGTGCTGGGATTATAGGCATGAGTCACCATGCCCTGCTTCAGTATTTACTTTCTTAAAGTTTTGTTTATTTGTTTTCCCGCTGAATGAGGGTCCCCATTTACTTCTACACTAGAGCTTATGACCCCCTGAGATACTTTATGATAATAAAAATGTTTTATACTTTTATTATTTTAAAAATCAAAATATTTTGATATAATTTATGCTGCCATAAAAAGACTTCTCTAAATCAAAGTGTGTGGTTGTAAATCTTTATTCAAAGAGTTAAGAAGCTTATAATAGTTCAGAAGGCTTTATTAAATTCTAAAACATGATGTTTTCCTGTTACCTTGCATCAGGCAGTGCCCATTCAGGCTCGAACCTGCCTTTGGTGTCTCTTTAATGAGCACACTTCCATATCCATCCTACATCCTAGCCATGCTAAAACATGAGCTTTTCTCTGTGTGTGGCACATACCTGTGACTGTGCCTATGGCTGTACCTATGCCTGTGTTTGTATCTGAACCATTGCATTTGCTTTGAGGCCCTTTTGTTAAAGGCCTGGCTCAACTGCTGTCTTCACTCTCTACCCTAATTCCCTGGGCTACACTTTTTTTTTCTTTTCTTTTTGAGACGGAGTTTCGCTCTTGTTACCCAGGCTGGAGTGCAATGGCACGATCTCGGCTCACCGCAACCTCCGCCTCCTGGGTTCAAGCGACTCTCCTGCCTCAGCCTCCTGAGTAGCTGGGATTACAGGCGCACGCCACCATGCCCAGCTAATTTTTTGTATTTTTAGTAGAGACGGGATTTCACTATGTTGACCAGGATGGTCTCAATCTTTTGACCACGTGATCCATGCGCTTTGGCATCCCAAAGTGCTGGGATTACAGGCGTGAGCCACCACACCCGGCCTTTATGTGTTTTTTTTTTTAGAGACAAAGTCTCACTCAGTCACCCAAGCTAAAGTACAGGGGCGTGATCTTGGCTCACTGCAACCTTCGCCTCCTGGGTTCCAGTGATTCTCCTGCCTCAGCCTCCTGAGTAGCTGTGATTATAGGTGCTCACCACCTAGGCTAATTTTTGTATTTGTAGTAGAAACATGGTTTCACCATGTTGACCAGGCTCTTCTTGAACTTCTGGTCTCAAATGATCCGCCCGTCTTGGCCTCCCAAACTGCTGGGATCATAGGTGCGCCACTGCGCCCTGCCCTGGGCTGCACTTGATTGTTCTTGCTTCCAGGCTCCCAGGACCTCTGTGTTAGTGCCCAGCACACTGTCTTAAAGTTAATTGGTTACATTTTGTCCCCAGTCTCCAACTAAGTTATATTCCTTGAAGATGAAGTCTATCTAATATTCATCCTTGCATCTCTAGATGCCTAACACAGTAGTCAGTACTCAAGTAATGTTTACATTAATTCAGCCATATATCTTTAAAGTTTCAATGGTGGACTATATTGTTTGTGGCCAGGATCAACTGCCTGTAGTCACCAGTAAAGTGTACAATGCAGTGGCAAACCTCTGGAAACCATGGCTGGATGAAGAAGCTATTAGTACTTTAAGGAGAGGTAAGTGAAAGACTTACTTATTCCTATTTTGCCTCAATTTTTATTCATGTTGTTTAGACTTTTTTTTTTTTTTTGACAGAGTCTTGCTCTGTCACCAGGAGCCAGGCTGGAGTGCAATGGTGCAATCTTGGCTCACTGCAAATCTCCTGCCTCAGCCTCCCAAGCAGGTGGGACTACAGGCACGCACTACCACACCCAGTTAATTTTTGTATTTCTTAGTAGAGAAGGGGTTTCATCATGTTGGCCAGGATGGTCTCGATCTCTTGACCTCTTGATCCACCCGCCTCGGTCTCCCAAAGTGCTGGGATTACAGGCGTGAGCCACCGCACTGAGCTAGACTTAAATTTTTAATGTTCGCTTGAATGTGCCAATTCTGGAGCGCCTCTGCCCTATTACTACAGTGAGTAGTAATGCTGCTAGTGACACACGTCATGAACCTGTTTATCTTGCGGGGTGCTCTTCCTGTTCTTCTTCCACTCTTTTGTTCTTCTTCTACTCTTAATTAGGTAGCTATGTTCCCCGTGGAGCAAAAGCTGAACTTTGGATTTGAATGTAAATAAAAGTGTATGTTTCTCATTGGAAAATTGATTGAGAAGAGCGAATGGACACTACTTCTAACCAAGCAGCACAATTTTATAAAACAAACAGCTGGTAAAAAACGAAGCTTTTAACATGGACTTTGAGGTGCTTGGGAAAGTAATGCATAATTAGTGCATAGTAAGGCTTCCCTGGGTAATGTCTAAAGGCCCTCTGCTCCTGTGGCTTTTGACACATTATGTAAATCCCTGACATTTTGTGAGCTTAGCTGAGGTGCCAAGCTGTTAAACGAAGACTTTGGTGTTTTTAGAATGTTGAGAAGAATTTCAAGTTAATGGCTGGATTTCTGTCAGTTAAAAGGCTTTCTTTCAGTATTTTTATTAACCCTTTGGCTTTTGTCACTGTTTTGTTACTGTTTTTGCTAGCATACAGCAAATCACAGTATATGTGAATTCGAGACATGATATCTTAGAATTAGACTACGGTTCTGATTAATCTAGAGAACTATATTTAGTCTTTTTTTTTTTTTTTTTTTTGAGACAGAGTTTCACTCTTATTGCCCGGGCTAGAGTGCAAATGGTATGGTCTCAGCTCACCACAACCTCCGCCTCCTGGGTTCAAGCGATTCTCCTGGCTCAGCCTCCTAAGTAGCTGGGATTATAGGCACCTGCCACCACACCCAGCTAATTTTGTATTTTTAGTAGAGACAGGGTTTCACCATATTGGTCAGGCTGGTCTCGAACACCTGACTTCAGGAGATCTGCCCCCCTTGGCCTCCCAAAGTGCTGGAATTACAGGCATGAGCCACCATGCCCAGCCTACTTCTAGTCTTAGGCTTCACATCCTACAAGACACATGGAGAGCTTGTGTAGGTTGAAGTGAAGGGAGAGCCACAAAGAATGATCAAGATTCCTAAAGAAATGCTCTGCGTTCTAAGGAGGCTCAGCATAAAGCAGGGGAGGCAGAAAACAGCTGAGAAGTAGAATTCAGGCCCTAAGAAAAAGCTGTATGAGTTTATAATGATACCCATTCCCATGACAGCAGTCAAAGCTCCAGTTAAACACTGGAGTATAATACTAAGTTAAAAGTCATAAAAGGAATCCTGAGAAAGTCTTAGAGGCAAAAGTGATTTGGAGCAGAGATGCTCTGCATGAGGGGCCTGAAATTCCAGGGCCCCTAGTGAGACCTTTTGTCAATTTCTATGACTAGGACAGGAAGGGAAGTGTCTCAAAAATAACTTCCGACAAATTCAAGCCTAACTGCCCTGCTGCTACCATAGTAAAAATAATAAGGTGTTATGACTATGAGAAAAAACAGAAAATTAAAGAGGCAGTGATCCATCATGATTGAAAGCTAGAGAAAGCCACGAATAGTGAGTAGGCTCAAGGCAAAGAAAGCTGGGCCAGATCTGAGTGCCCAGCTCTGCAAGTGCCATTGCAGCAGACCCTTGGGTGTCCCGTCACCACTTATTCAGAGGCGTGGGTGGAATGATGCCTTTAAACCTCTTTTCCTCTGAGATTGTAGCAGCTGTGATTTGTCTGACCCTTTTCTTTTTTCTCAGTAATCTCTAGCAAGATCCATGTGTGTTACTATTCTTTGGATTTTATATTTCACAATGTCTCTCAGCTTAAGCCCCTAATCATAAAAATAGAAGTTGAAGTGTGAATCTTTCTTTCATAAGATTCAATCTTGTTGCTTACTGCCCAAACGCTTATTTATCTTTTCATCTGAATATTGGATACAACCATTATTTCAGCATGTTGGAAGTGCCAGCATGGGACCTAGCACCACAGCAGATTTTCAGTAAATGCTGTTAAATCTGCTTCTTATCTAATGACAGCCTATCTATGTGCCAACTAAACAATGAGAAATAAGTACTAGCCTCCTGACTGGATTGTAAACCCCAGGAATTTGCTTTTACAATGCCTTTGTATATGTGTGTGTTTTCCTAAATGTGTTTTAAAATTGTTTTTATAGGTGGTTTTTATTCACAGAAAGTTACAACTAATCCAAACCTTAGGATCATCAGTCTAAACACAAACTTGTACTACGGCCCCAATATCAAGACCCTGAACAAGACTGACCCAGCCAACCAATTTGAATGGCTAGAAAGCATACTGAACAGCTCTCAGCAGAATAAGGAGAAGGTAGATCCCATAGACCAAAACCATCTGGGAATGAGCAGAAGGCAAAATTTGTATGTTTATTAAACTTGGGGTGGAGTCTGGTATCAATAAAATTTGAAGTTTTTTTTTTTTGCATAAACACCTTACAACTCATGGTTGTTCTCTTTCATGTGGGTAGTTTTTTTTTTTTTAGACAGAGTCTTGCTCTGTCACTTAGGCTGGAGTGCAATGGCAACTGTCTTGGCTCATTGCATCCTCCTCAGCCTCCTGAATAGCTGGGATTACAGGCGCCTGCCACCATGTCTGTCTAATTTTTGTAGTTTTAGTAGAGACGGGGTTTCACCATGTTGGCTAGGCTAGTCTTGAACTCATGACCTCAGGTGATCTACCAGCCTCACCCTTCCAAAGTGCTGGGATTAGAGGTGTGAGACACCAAGGCTGGCCAAGTCATTTTAGTTTTTTTTTTTTTTCAGGCACAGGGATCTCACTCTGTTGCCTAGGCTACAGTGCAGTGGCACGATCATGGCTCACTGAAGCTTCAGCCTCCTGGGCTCAAGTGATTCTCCCACCTCAGCCTCCGGAGTAGATGGGACTACAGACAGGCATGCACCACCACACCTGGCTAATTTTTTTTCTATTATTTTTTATAGAGACAAGATTTCACCATGTTGCCCAGGCTGGTCTCAAACTCGGGGGGGGGGCTCAAGCAACCTACCTGCTTTGGCCTCCCAAAGTGCTGTAATTACAGGCCTGAGCCACCTTGCATAGCCAGTTTTATTTTGTTTTGCTTTTACTACTTTTAGGATTAGTGGACATTTATTGGTATAAAAAGAGGCCAAATCAAAAAATTGTGACTGAAGTCACGGGTCGTTACATCATCAACACTGTGCAAATATAGTGACCTTAATAGTTTTATAATTTCATCTCTTTTTGTTATAAATAGAAGAGGTGGTAGATTTGTTTTCTAAATTATAATTAATATACTTTCAATCTTGGGTATCTAAATGTCGTTTGGTTATGATAAATGTGCCGAAAGATTCTCGTGAGTCCTCCTTGTGCTGCTTTTTCCAGGTGTACATCATAGCACATGTTCCCGTGGGGTATCTGCCGTATTCAAAGAGCATCACAGCAATGAGAGAATACTATAATGAGAAATTGATAGATATTTTTCGAAAATACAGTGATGTCATTACAGGGCAATTTTATGGACACACTCACAGAGACAGCATTATGGTTCTTTCAGATAAAAAAGGTAATGTAATGCTGTGTTTGCATCTCCCCAGTCCAAGAGTCTAGAGCAAAGCAGTGAATATTCAGTAAATTTGCTGATTTAGTAAATTAAACATTTTATTCAAAAATCTGCCAGCACTAGCCTTTTCTGAATTATCCTCAATGGTTGTATGATGAGTGTGCAAATCATAATATTAGGCCTGCAGCTGGATTTCTTCAACATGAGCTCCTATTAGCTCCACAGGGCTGGTGTTACTTATTTGCCGTCAATACAAAAGCCTCAGAAACCCTCAGCTCACTCAAATTTTCTTTTAAATCTCCGTGTTTAAAGAAACATCATTCTTCTTTTAACTGCTACACTCAAGTTTCTTTTGATGTTACTTGTTTTATTTCTCAGAATTTAGAAAGCAAAGCAAAGTTTACACAATGGCTTAAAATAAAATATGTTAAGCTCTTACTTGTAAGTTCTTATTGATACATATATAAGCAGAGAGAATGATACAAACAAGCCCCTGTGTACTCATCACGTATATTCAACAGCTATTAAAATTTGTCCACATTTGCTTTGCCTATTCCTTTTATATTCTTTTAATTTTTTTGCTCAAGTATTTGAAAGTGAATCTCAAACACTGGATCTATTTCAGTACTTTCTGTATTCATTGCTAAAATATGTGGATAATTTACACAACCACAATAACATTAACTTACTTAACAAAATTGACAATATTATCCAGCATCAATAACAAAAATACCCCTATTTTCTCAAAATGGTCTCTTTATAGTTGTTTCAAGTCAGTATCCATCAATGATCACGTATTACTTGGCTATGGAGCCTGTTTGTATTTTTAATATAGTTAAACTCTATTATTTAAGAACGTATGTTTATGTGTGTGTGTTTTGTTCAGGAAGTCCAGTAAATTCTTTGTTTGTGGCTCCTGCTGTTACACCAGTGAAGAGTGTTTTAGAAAAACAGACCAACAATCCTGGTATCAGACTATTTCAGTATGATCCTCGTGACTATAAATTATTGGTAAGTTGGCAGATTTCAGAGCTGACCCCATATTTATGCATATCTTTGCAGGTTTCATCAGTTTAGTTGAATTTTTCTCAGACAGCTATGTGAGATGCATTTTATGTCAAAATCTCCTGGCATCCTTCTTTTTTATACTTGCAATGTTATCAAGACTTACTAAGTGTGAGCTGATGAAGTTAGTCTTTGGAAGGCTGTTTCTGTTAGTTCTAAGGACTTCACATTTATTTAGGTGAAGCTTTCATTGGATAGTGCCATGTTTGTGGACTTGCGTACATACTGAAACATTTCATTAAGCCATGCTCATTCTTCTTCCCTAGAATATAAGTAAGTATCAAGAAGAGTATAGGCTCTGGAACCATTCCCTCTCATGAGGCATATTTTTAAGCTTCTTTGTGTCCCAGTCTATTTCTCCATGGAATGGGAATTAAAGTATTATTTAATTAACTGAGTTACTATGAGGATTCCATGAACAAATCTCTGTAAAGCACTTAGAAAAATGCTTGGCTTATACTAAATGCTTAATAAATATTAACAAACAAGATTTTCTTTTTTTTAGAGACAAGGTCTTGTTCTGTTACCCAGGCTGGAGTATAGTGGGGCAATCATAGCTTACAGCAGTCTCAAAGTCATGGGCTCAAGTGACCCTCCCACCTCAGCTTCCCACATAAGCGGGACTACCGGCAAGCATCACCATGCCCACCTAATAGAGATGGGGGCCTCCCTATGTTGCCCAGGCTGGTCTCGAACTCTTGACCTCAAGTGATCTCCCACATTGGCCTTCCAAATTGCTGATATTACAGATGTGAGCCACTGGGTCCACCCAAAAAAAATTTTTAAAGGAAAAAAAATTGAGCTGGATATTGACCTTCAGGACAAAAGATCTTTGGAGCAGCTTCATGGCTGCTTGCTTTAGAACAATTTAGCACAAAAGGCTGGTCATTTGGCTTATGGGTACTTCGGTTGGGGTAACTTCCCCTTTCTACAATATAGTTAGAGAACAGTTCACTTCAATTAAAGCCATTGTTGGTATAATTGCTTTTTTTTTCTAGATGAATTTAAATAGAAGAAGGTTCTGTTATTTCCCAAAATAACAGACGGAGGAGGTAGGATGGCAGAAATCTGGTTTGATTCATAAATATTTGATTCAATGGGGAAATGAAACAATTGTGTGATAAATTAGTCCAAAAGAATTTTTTCTACAACTTTTAGCTGCCTAATTTTGAATCTGAACCTCGGATATATACATCTACATACATGTATATATCCATCTATATATATGTGTATGTATCTATATAGACACCATCTGAGGTTCAGACCCTGATGTATATATACGTGTGTACATATGTACCAATATAGGAAGATTTTCCTGATATAGCACTAAATAATTTCTTTTATTTTTTATTTTTTTAATTTTTTTTAAAGACGGGGTTTCACCATATTGGTCAGGCTGGTCTTGAACTCCTGACCTCAGGTGATCCACCCACCTCACCCTCCCAAAGTGCTAGGATTGCAGGCATGAGCCACCACGCCCGGCAGCACTAAATTTCTAAAAACGTAAATATCTTACATAACTTCTAAATAATTTCTTGAAATATAACAATGTGTATAATAAGACTCCATATTTTGAAAAAGCCAAAAATGTAAAGAAGTATGCATATTCCAAATATTTGTCTTTGTTTTGATATAAAGCCTAGAACACCACACATTCACTGGAGTACTGGCAAATGTTTAACAACTGGTTTACTGAGGAGAAACGTGCCTTAATTTGTAGTGTCTGCCAATGTCCCTGACAGAAATACTCACATCATGAACAATTTCAAGCTACCAAAGTGCCACAAATTGACTAGCAACATTCCTAAAAATGTGACAGTAGGCTTTTGTGAGCTGGTACAAGCTACCTCTAGCGCACCACTGATACACACAGCTATTAGTGATGGTTACCTCTGAGGTGTGTGAATTGAAGGTTTTTATTTTGTACCTCTCTCTGTATAGTTTGGATTATGTGCTATTATGTTCTTTCATTCTTTTCAAAATTGAAAAAGTGATAAAAGTTTTTTATTGAGCCTCTTTGTCTTTCTTTCTTTTTTTCCTCTTTTTTTGAGACAATGTCTTGCTCTGTTGTTCAGGCTGGGGTGCAGTGGCTCAATCTTGGCTCACTGCAACCTCTGCCTTCTGGGTTCCAGTGATTCTCCTACCCCAGCCTCCCAAGTAGCTGGGATTACAGGTGCTCGCCATCACACCCGGCTAATTTTTTTTGTGTATTTTTAGTAGAAACAGGGGTGTCACCATGTTGTTCAGGCTGGTCTTGATTACCTGACCTCAGGTAATCTACCCGTCTCAGCCTCCCAAAGTGCTGGGATTACAGCTCAGCCTAAAATGTCACATAAATTTTAACATGAACACTTCTTGTTGTACAGTGCCTTATGTGCCAAAAAATGAACCAGGCTTTGTTACTGTTCTTAACTGTAGGATATGTTGCAGTATTACTTGAACCTGACAGAGGCAAATCTAAAGGGAGAGTCCATCTGGAAGCTGGAGTATATCCTGACCCAGACCTATGACATTGAAGATTTGCAGCCGGAAAGTTTATACGGATTAGCTAAACAATTTGCAATCCTAGACAGTAAGCAGTTTATAAAATACTACAATTACTTCTTTGTGAGTTATGACAGCAGTGTAATATGTGATAAGACGTGTAAGGCCTTTCAGATTTGTGCAATTATGAATCTTGATAATATTTCCTATGTAGATTGCCTCAAACAATTTTTTATAAAGCACAATTACTAGTATTTTATAGTTTTTGTTAATAGAAAATGTAACACTGCTCTGATTCTGAGATCAATTTGTGGAAATTTTACATAAATCTTTGTTAATTTCTGAGTGGACAAGTAGACTTCCTCTCTTTGCTTTCTTTTTTTTTTTTTTAATGCTCAAATGTGATATCTTTATCATTCTGAATTTTATTATATGTTTAAACTGCTCATTAATAGAATGAAGGATGTAAATTGGATATAAATATTCAGTTTGTATAATTATATCTAATTTGTACCCTTGTTAAAATTGTCATTTATACAATAAAGCAAATGATTTATCTTTAAATATGATGATGTTTTCTTAACATGATAAATTTTTTTTTTCTAATACTTCAAGATCTGCAGGATTGTTACGTAGATATACACATGCCATGGTGGTTTGCTGCCTCCACCCACCCCCGTCACCTACATTAAATATTTCTCCTAATTCTATCCCTCCCCAAATCTCCCCACCTGCTGCTATCCTTTTCCTAGTCCCCCACTCCGCAACAGACCCCAGTGTGTGATGTTCCCTTCCCTGTGTCCATGTGTTCTCATTGTTCAATACCCACTTACGAGTGAGAACTTAACATTGATAACTTTTAGTTAAAATATTATGTGTTAGCTGAGGTCCAGTTGTTTACATCTCATACGTAAAGAGAGGTTACCACTGTTTACATGCACTGTCTACTCGTTGGAAAATACCAAGGTCTTATTAGGACCATGCTGAAACATCACAGGGCTTATATTGCCTCACTTTCTTAATTCTGTAAGTCTTTGGCATTGCTAACTTTGAAGGATGAGAATTCACACATTATACTTACTGCAACTGCCATACTAGCACAAGGCCTGGGTCCTAGTCCAGTGCCTGGCACCTAGTAAATAATTGTTGAAATGAATTAAAAGCTATGAATATTTTTTCAAAGAAACATCCTAGATTACAGTGGTGGCATTTTCTTTGTCACAGTATTCCAAGAGGATAAAAATGAGCCTTTTATTTAATGGGATTGTTTTTAGGACTTTTAATGGCTCAAGCTGTTTTCTGCTTTCAGGCTAAGAAAGAGAATTAAAGTAGAAATGAAGGGGAGGGTGGGAGGTTCTGGGGGATTTAAGGGAAGAGAACATTGTGTATCCTAATATTTTGGTATACTGAAGAAGACCGTTAAAGAAAAAAAAAAAAAAACTCATCATGACACTTGTTAAAGATGTTAAGGCAGACGTTATCCACGGTAGGACCTTGTGATAGGTATAGGGACCACTACAATGGAACCCTGCAGTGAGGGAGAGAGAGTGGATTCAGTCCTAACTTTGACAAGGCTGAGTGCAGATTTATAACTAAGGAGCAGGGTGGGGATCAGCGCATGGAAAATTACTAGGAAGAAAAACATCAAAGGGAAGAGATTTCTGGCTATAAAAACTTGATAGGATTATTGCTGAAGGCAGACTAGTGTGACAGGATACCAAGGATAGTAAGACACCAAAGATGGGGCATTCTCCTTAAGTGGACATAGCAGGATTCTTGCTCAAACTGGATCCTGCAAGAACAAAGAAGGAAGCTCAGTGTTGGCCTAGTTCAGCAGAGGAAGCAGAGGAGCCTTACTAAAGTTTTGGTCAAAGGAGAGAATCTTTGTCAAGATATAAAATGAGGGCCGGGCGCGGTGGCTCACGCCTGTAATCCTAGCACTTTGGGAGGCCGAGGCGGGTGGATCACGAGGTCAAGAGATCGAGACCATCCTGGTCAACATGGTGAAACCCCATCTCTACTAAAACTACAAAACATTAGCTGGGCATGGTGGCACGTGCCTGTAATCCCAGCTACTCAGGAGGCTGAGGCAGGAGAATTGCCTGAACCCAGGAGGCGTAGGTTGCGGTGAGCCGAGATCGCGCCATTGCACTCCAGCCTGGGTAACAAGAGTGAAACTCCGTCTCAAAAAAAAAATAAATAAATAAATAAAATAAAATAAAAAATAAATTACTATCTTGTAAAAGAAGCCTAACCAAGCCAGCCTCAGTCTACTATAATTGTTTCTACAATCTTTAAAATTTGTGTCAAGTGCGGTGGCTCACACCTATAATCCTATCGCTTTGGGAGGCAAAGGCAGGTGGATCACCTGAAGTCAGGAGTTTGAGACCAGCCTGGCCTACATGGTGAAATCCCATCTTTACTAAAAATACAAAAATTAGCCAGATGTGGTGGTGGGCGCCTGTAATTCTAGCTACTCAGAAGATTGAGGCAGGAGAGTCGCTTAAACCCAGGAGGCGAAGGTTGTAGTGAGCTGAGATCCTGCACTGTACTCCAGCCTGGGTGACAAGTTGGACTCTGTATCAAAAAAAAAAAAAGAAGTGTATTATCTGCCCCCTCCCTGCTTGTACTGCCTAAACCATGCTAGACAAATGTTGAGGAGAATAAGGAAAAGACAAATAAGATGCTTTGTGTTTTTAAAATATTTTGTTTTAATTATTATGGATACATAATAGTTAAACATATTTATAGAGTACATGTGATATTGTAATACAAGCATAGAATATGTAATGATCAAATCAGGGTAATTGGGATATTCTTAAGCAGGTATTATTTCTTTGTGTTAGGAACATTCCAATTCTACTCTTTTAGTTATTCTGAAATATACAATAAATTATTATCAACTATAGTTGCCCTATTTTGCTTCCTAATGTTGTACTGGATCGAGCGTAGAAATTTAGCACCAAGACAAAAGTATGCCAGATTGCAGGGTCATTTATTATGTCAGTGACCACAGAGGACTCACATCTCTCCAACCTGTGGCATCGAAAGGAGGGTGCCAAGACTTTTTTTTTTTTTTTTTTTGAGACGGAGTTTCACTCATGTTACCCAGGCTGGAGTGCAATGGCGCGATCTCGGCTCACCGCAACCTCCGCCTCCTGGGTTCAGGCAATTCTCCTGCCTCAGCCTCCTGAGTAGCTGGGATTACAGGCACGTGCCACCATGCCCAGCTAATGTTTTGTATTTTTAGTAGAGACGGGGTTTCACCATGTTGACCAGGATGGTCTCGATCTCTTGACCTTGTGATCCACCCGCCTCTGCCTCCCAAAGTGCTGGGATTACAGGCTTGAGCCACTGCGCCCGGCCCGCCAAGACTTTTTATACCCAAAAAACGATCTTGGGAGTGGGGGTGAGGAGCGGGGATGGGGATGAAAAGGTTTCAGACATTCCAAGGGCCAGGGGATTCTGTAATTCACCTCCTGGGTGGAGACGAGGGTGGGGGTCTCCGGACATTCCAAGGGCCAGGGGATTCTGTAATTCTGTTTGTTACTTCAGTGGTTTACAGAAGTCAAGATAAGCATTTGTTTACACACAGATCTTAGTTATCCTGGGCTGCTTATTTTAGTTATTACAGGTAAGCAAAGGCTAGCAGTTCTGGCACAATATCACACTAACACTAGATCTAATTTCTTCTGTCCAACTGTATTTTTGCACCCATTAACTGTCACCTCTTCATTCTGTCCCACCCCACTGGCTACACTTCCCAGCCTCTGATAACTATCATTCTACATTCCATCTCCACCAATTCAAATTTTTTTAGCTCCCACGTATGAGTGGGAACATGCTGTATTTGTCTTTCTCTGCCTGACTTTTTTCGCTTAACATAATGTCCTCCGCTTCCATCTATGTTGTGGCAAATGACAGGATTTCATATTTTTATAGTTAAATAATATTCCATTGTTTATGGCATTTTCTTTATCCATTCATCCATTGAGAAACATTTAATTTGATTTCATATCTTGGCTACCATGAATAGTGCTATAATATACATGGGAGTACAGATATCTCTTTGATGTATCAATTTTCTTTCTTTTGGATATATACCTAGCAGTTTATACATATAAATCCCCCCTCACTATATATTATATTATATATATATAAAACTCCCTCATATATAATATTTGTGTTAGGAACATTCCAATTCTACCTTTTTTTTTTTTTTTTTTTTTTTGAGACGGAGTTTTGCTCTTGTTACCTAGGCTGGAGTGCAATGGAGCGATCTCGGCTCACCGCAACCTCCGCCTCCTGGGTTCAGGCAATTCTCCTGCCTCAGCCTCCTGAGTAGGTGGGATTACAGGCACGCGCCACCATGCCCAGCTAATTTTTTGTAGTTTTAGTAGAGATGGGGTTTCACCGTGTTGACCAGGATGGTCTTGATCTCTTGACCTCGTGATCCACCCGCCTCGGCCTCCCAAAGTGCTGGGATTACAGGCTTGAGCCACCGCGCCCGGCCTATACTATATATTTATATAGAATAGACATATGGTATATTATATATTATCATATATTTATGTAGAATATGCATATTACATATTTTATATATTATAGATTTTATTATATATTATATATTTATTATCTATGTATATAGGCAGTGACTATAGGTATTTATATATTATAGCTATATATATTTATCTGTATTTATATTTTTTTATATAGAAGTTCTCTATGTGCATATATAGAGAGGTTTATATATATAAAAAATATGTATAGTGAGAGGTTTTATATATATAAACATGTATTTTATAGCTATAACTCCCTCATATATATATGTAACCTCTCTCTCTCTAAATATATATATGTAACCTCTCTCTCTCTATCTCTCTATATAATATATATTTATATATCTCTATACAAAGATATATATGTCTTTATATATTTACATATGGGGGATTCTTACATATATAAAATATAATATATAGAGAGAGGGATTTATATATATTTTTATATTATATTAATAATATGTAATTATATATGGTATTAAATTATATATATAGAGAGAGAGAAAGAGAGAGAGATGGGGTTCTCTTAAACTCCTGGACTCAAGTGATCCTCCTACCTCAGCCTGCTGCGTAGCTTGGACTACAGGTGTAGCCAAATCTGGCTAGAAATAGTTTGAATTAAATTACTGGTGAGCTAGCTATTCTTTTGGTGGAGAATGGATTCCCTTCTCATTTAGAATCCCCTACTTGGATTAGTTCTCCTTGGAACAATTATATGCATTAGCATAATGTAGATAATCACTCCATGGAACACGGGACAAAATAATTAAAAGATAAGGATCATATCTATTTTATGACTTCAATTTTCTAAGATATACCTGAAGTTCCTGTTATACAAAATTATCCTTATTAAATGTCAGCATGATTCAGCATCCTTACCCATTATTAGAATGACTTTCTTTCTATAATGTGTATTTGTTCTTTAATTTAAAAAATTTTAATCAGTATAAACTTTTTATCTTTTATTGTAAAATTTCAGGTGCTGACTGGGCGTGGTGGCTCACG